GCCACCCTACCTGGCGACGCAGTGGGATCCGTTCTCAAACAAATTCAGGCAGGACTGGGGCTTAATCGTTTAATGATAAGTGCATTAAGATGGAGGTCATTTAAGCTGGCTGCCCCCAGAGAGAAAGTCTCTTTTTGAAAGATTCCAGCGAAGCTCAACTTCTGAAGGCAAATTGTTCCAATTTGTGGATTGTTCTCACGGTCAGAAATGACTTCTTCTTCTTGTGCCATATCCGTTATCGGACGCTAGCGGTCCTGTTGGCGATCCTGTTTTTGTCAGCAGCCACACGAAAAAGTGCTGCTGAGTTTTGTCCAAACCCTTAGATTTTGAGAAATGACTACGCATAAACCCCAGCCCTTCCCCACCGGGCCAACTTACTAGATGTTGGGAGCGATGAAATGGATCTTGGCACAGTTCTTGTCGGCCACCACCATCCCTTCGGTGGCCCGGGTGTCCGCCCCCAGCACGATACCGTCCTGGGGGGAGGAGAAAGAGGGTTCAGGCTATACCTGGGCACGAAACCCCAGGGCGATTCTCCAGGAGAGCCCGCCACCTCCTCGGCCTTACCTTGTACACCACGCCGGCTATGGTGGTGCCCGTCTTGCGAGCGGTGGGCAGCCGAAGACCCTTCTGGGCCCCCTCTGCTTCCAGCTGGGCATTCCTGCAGCAGGAGAGAAGCCACATTAAGATAAGCTACTGCCAGCATTGCCCATGAATCAGGGGTAGGCAACCTCGGCTCTTTTATGACTCGTGGACTTCAACCCCCAGAATTCCTGAGCATGGCTGGCTCAGGAATTCTGGGAGTTGAAGTCCACGAGTCATAAAAGAGCCGAGGTTGCCTACCCCTGCCCATGATGGACTTATTTTTTGGGGGGGGAGGAAACCTTCGCACCCTCCCCACCCGGAGCCGAAAAAGTGGGGATCAACTCCAAGGGGGGGCTGGTTTGGGAAGGGAGGGGCAATCCTCGCATCCCCCCCCCACCCCAGCAGGCTGCGATCCCCAACGCCCCTGCCTGCCAAGAGGCGCCCTTTCCCTGCCCGGCGCGCCGGACTCCAACTCCCAGCATGCCTCAGCGCGGCCTCCAAGGCGGGGGCCGCTGGGAGGAGTAGTTCGCAGCGGGCCCGGGGAAGCCCGGCTCCTGAGTCACGGCCGGCCCGGCTTCGCCCGCCGCGGCTTGCGGGGCTCCGCCGCGCTCTCCCGGCCCCTCCGCCGGCTTCCTCGGGCCGCCCGCCCGCCTCCCCGCCGCCTCCCCGGCCTCACCGGGCGCAGTTGTGGAAGGAGAAGCCGCCGGTGGCCGGCGTGGAGGCCCGGAGCAGCGAGAGCGACGCCATCTTGCCCGGCTATGGCGGAGGCGGGGCGAGCGCGGCGGCCATGCCCGGAGGCCACGCCCCCTCCCGGCGGCGGGACACGCCCCCCCCTCCGCTGCGCACGTGGGCTGAGTTGGGGTTGGGATGGTCCGCGGAGGTTCTGGGGTGTGTTAAGCGCCCATCGTCCCCAGCCGGAGCTGGGAGTATCATACAACTTCACGCAGGGCAAGGGGACCATCATCCCCAGCAGAACTGGACTGTCGCACAGCCCCATGCAGGGGAAAGGGACCATCATCCCCAGCAGAACTGGACTGTCGCACAGCCCCATACAGGGCAAGGGGACCATCATCCCCAGCAGAACTGGACTGTCGCACAGCCCCATACAGGGCAAGGGGACCATCATCCCCAGCAGAACTGGACTGTCGAACAGCCCCATGCAGGGCAAGGGGACCATCATCCCCAGCAGAACTGGACTGTCGGACAGCCCCATGCAGGGCAAAGGGACCATCATCCCCAGCCAGAGCTGGGAGTGTCACACATCCTCATGCAGGGCAAGGGGACCATCATCCCCAGCCGGAGCTGGGCTGTCGGACAGCCCCATGCAGGGCAAGGGGACCATCATCCCCAGCAGAACTGGACTGTCGGACAGCCCCATACAGGGCAAGGGGACCATCATCCCCAGAAGAACTGGACTGTCGGACAGCCCCATGCAGGGCAAAGAGACCATCATCCCCAGCCAGAGCTGGGAGTGTCACATCCTCATGCAGGGCAAGGGGACCATCATCCTCAGCCAGAACTGGACAGCCCCATGCAGGGCAAAGGGACCATCATCCCCAGCCAGAGCTGGAAGTGTCACATCCTCATGCAGGGCAAGGGGACCATCATCCCCAGCCGGAGCTGGGCTGTCGGACAGCCCCATGCAGGGCAAAGGGTCATCATCCCCAGCCGGAACTGGGCTGTCAGCCCCATGCAGGGGAAAGGGACCATCATCCCCAGCCAGAGCTGGGAGTGTCACATCCTTGTGCAGAGCAAGGGGACCATCATCCTCAGCCAGAACTGGGCTGTCGGAGAGCCCCATGCAGGGCAAGGGCCCATCATCCCCAGCTGCTGGCCCATCACCCCAGCTGCTGGGTGCTGCATTGCCAGCATCCCGAGGATAAGATGTTGCTGTCCCCATAGGCCAGTAGGAGAGAGGGAGCATTGGGACCCCCATCATCCCCATCCACAAGAGGAGTGGTTATGCTCTTGGGAGGTTCCATGGTGCTGTTGCATTCAGCACCCATCCTCCCCAGCCCCATTGGAGGGAGCTGTTCTCTCAGCTGGCCCCAAGGAGCCAAGGGAACGGAAGGGTGCTGGACCAGGCTTCCATCATCCCCAACCACAAGAACTGAACCTGGGCAGATTAGGAAAACCCTGGCCGAGCTTGATAGGATTGAGACAGGACGCCAACTCCCATAAGCTCCGGCCCAAATACATCCTGCCTGTCTTGGCTGGGGAGGAGGGACCTTGTAGTCCCACCCTAAGAAGGCAGCAAGTTGGAGAAGCCATTCAACTCCAACGCTCACTTCTGACAAAGGCCAAGTTGGAAGAAAACAGGAGAGCAGGACTCCCATCATCCCCAACACCAGCAAAAATTCCGATCCAAAGAACAGAGGAACGGGGTCAGTGGGCCAACCTGGCCCCAGGACCTCCTCCTTTTGGGTGCACCCCAAATTGTCCATCGCAGAAGCCGGAGATCCGGTGGCTTCGGCCCCAGCCGAAGGGGACCAGGCGCCTTCCCGCCCTTAGTGAGATGTCTAAGTTGGCAAAACCATCTTGACTGCTCCATCTGATCAAGTTATGCACAATCTTTAATGCTCCGAGGTGAGTGACAGCTACTTCTTCGGGCGGAAAGCCGCAGCATAAATCATGCATGGGGTCCAGCCGGGTGGCTAAGCCCAAGACCCTTGATGTCTGCCCACCTGAGGAATAGCTACGAGCGCATGGCCCTGAGCGCCTAGGCAGCCAACGGCGAGCCAGCCTCTAATTGGCTGAAGGGGATGTCCGGAGAGAGCGGCGGATAGCGACAATCTCGGCTAGCGTTGACCTCCCGGTCCTGTTGGGATTTGTCCAAGCTTGGGAACAATTGTCTGGCT